ATATATATATATATATATATATATATATTTATTTATTTATTTATATCTAAAATATTAAAAATTATAAAAATATATATTTTTAATTATTTTAATAAAGTATAAAAGAACTAAACTTTAATAAAGATTAGAATATTAAACAATATTTAAAAAAATATGGATGATTATAGTTTTTTTCTTGTATATATTAAATAAAAAAAAAACTTAGAAAGAGTTTTTGTAGCCATGTAAAGCTTCCAAGGATACTTAAAGATCTATCACAAATACATTATATAAGAGACCTAATAAGAAGTTGAACAAAAGAGTTTCAACAAGAAGCTCGTATGAATTTGATTAAATCAAATGAATACAAGAACAACATCAAGAGTGGTAAGCTAGAGCTCCAAGAGATGTGTTATTGAGACTGAGGATCCCCTTAGCCTCGATTCTAATATATATTAGGTGTTAGGAAGTTTTTTAAGAAGTTTCCTTGTTGTTTGAAGACAAAGCTTCTTGAGAAGTTCTCATGTTGTTTAAAGATGAAGCAACCTTAGGAAGCTTCTTGAAAATTTTCCATGTTACTTGAATATGAAGCAACTTTAGGAAGTTTTTTGGACAACTTCCTTAATTCTTTTAGAACTTTTTAGAATCTATTTGAATATTATAAAAATCTTTAAGAACCTTTTAGAATATCCTAGGGATACTTTTAGAATCTTTTATTATAATATTCTAAAAATCTTCTAGAACCTTCTAAAACTTGATAGAATATTTTAAAAATATTCTTAGAATCTTCTTATTGGATGTTTGTAACAAGATTTAATCCTATTTTTTTTAAATTCAATAATTTTTTTATTAGTTTATTATCTATCTAATATTTTTATTTCTATTTAATAAAGTAGTATACATATTTTTATCATGTTTTTTTATAAAAAATTAGAAATAATTATATAAAAAAGTTATAATTTTTTTTATATAGATTGATATGATTTTAAATAAATTATTTGATATAAATATTTTTTGCTATAATTAAATATTTAATATGCCAAAGATGAATAATAGATAATTTGAGCCATTAAAACTATCTAATATTTGGAAAAAAAGAGTAGCTTATTATTTTATAAGATTCAAGAAAAAAATATTATAAAAAAATCTTTTTAAGAAAACATGATTTTATTTTTATTTATTTTTTAACCTCAAGAAGTAAAATATTTTGTAATATAATTAAATATATATCAACAAAAAATATTAATTTTTATGGATTATTAATATTGTAGTTAAAAGAGATAATTTCTTTAGTTTTACAGAACAATTTATTATTGATTATAGTTTGTAGATATTTCTTTTAGTACAAGGTAATGAATTCTAAATAAGGCATTTATATAATGTTAAATTAAAATCATAATAAAAATAAATTCTAAGAGATGTGAAAAAATTTAATATATGTTTCAATATAATGACTTCAAACTCTTGTAGTTAGCATAAGTTCTAATTAAACAAGAAGCTCCCTTAAGACAATAGTATTATTTTTAAAATTAACTATATCATTTTAAAGAATAATTTATTATAAATATTATAATTAAGCTTAGTTTTTAAAATATTTCTATAATAATAAAACTATAAAAAATTTAATAATTTTTTATGATAACATTAAATATATTATAAATAAAATAAAATATTTAAAAATAGACCCCATGAGTTTTAAATTATTTTAGATATTAATTTTAAGCTTTAAAAATATGTTCTTTATATTTTAATTTTATTCTTATTTATTTAAAATTCAATTATATAAATAAATCATAAATTTGGAAAAAAATAATAATATATACTTTATAATTATTTAATTCTAAAATTTATTTTTTCTTATAAAATATTAGTTTTGTTTAATTTATGATATGTAGTTTATTTTATAAAAAAATAAGCTTAGTATTTAAAATAATATATTTTTAAAAATATACATAATTTGTAATAAAATATATATTTATCTACTTTAGTATTGTTATAGATTTCAAAAACATTGTAATATACAATAAATTTGAGATATTCTTCAAAATAAATATAATAATAATAAATTTATCTAAAAAGATATAAAAAATCATTGATTAACAAATTCTAAGAAGAAACTAGAATATTTTTTGGTCCAAACTACATAATATTATATTTAAAGAATACTACAAATGCCAACCTAGTTTTTGCTATTGCTACCACAATCCACCACTCTTTTAATATATATATTTGGTATTTTTAATTTTTATTTCAATAAAAATGATTTCAAAGGTATTTAACAAAAAAAAAATTTAACTGATTTGAAAGGTTTTTAATAAATATGGCTTTTGGTGGATGGAAGATTATGGTGACAGTAGCAAAAATTATGATAATAGTAACAATATCCTATTTAAAATGTACATACTTTGATAAAAACTTTATCTTTAATTCATCTCTTTTATGATAAAAATTAAATTACTTGCATGTTATAATTTTATATTAGCAAATATAGACTTATTTAATCTTTTAAAATTAAATAAAAAGGAAAAAAAAAAAAACAAAACAAAATCAAAATCAAAAACAAAAAACAATGATTTTTAATATTTAATTATTTAAATACACAACAATCTACATGTATTAGCAATGGTTTATCTATATTCTTTAAACTTAGGTTATATACACACTTCAAATTGCTATACGCATTAAAATTAGGTAGTCTATGACAAAGTCCACGACTTGCCACAAAACAAAAAAGAATAGAAAGACATTTGTGACTTGTATTAAGATAAGCAAGAAAAAGAAGTGAATTGAGACCCCTGCCAAAATAAGAAAGAAGGGAAAGAAGTCAAGGACTTGCGCTAGGATAAAGAAGATAGAGAAGAAGTCAAAAACTTAGTGAATAGTGAACCATGAGTGGTCAATTATTGGTCAATTTAAGAAATTAGCCAATCAAAGGCCTCTATTTTCTTAAGTGTGTATATATCAATTTGGAGTATGCATGTAGCAACTTGAGATGTTCATGTAGCATAAGCCTATTCTTTGTTAGAAAGATTGGTGTGTTTGTAGATGATTTAAAATATCAAATAAAATTATTTTCAAGGTTTTGATCAATGTATTCTTTAAGAAAGTGTACTTATTTTTTTGATAGTTTGTAGATTGGATCAAATAGAAATTTGATTTATTTTTAAAGTTAATTACATAATCATACAAAAAAATATGTAAATAAGATATGTAGATAGAACATCTTAATGTTATTTTATTTTTTTCTAATATGTAATGTAAAGCTTTTATTGAGATTTAAATTTTATATTTATAAATAGAAATATATATATATATATATATATATATATTCTCTTATTTTAATTGATAAATTTTGATTTTTTTAACCTCAAAATATTATTTATATTATAGTGTTTTATAGAATAAATTCACAAAAATAGTTAAAACAATTTAAGATTTTGAATTCATATACAGATTATAATCTTTAAAAAGTAAATATATAATTATTAAATAAATTAAATATTTTAAAATATCGAATACTATTATGTTTTCATCACCATATAATATTAACTTATACTAAAGATTATCTATTTATAAATTTTACATGTATTAATTTTAATTTTTATATTAAATTCTTTTTATAATACTTCAAAAATTTATACTATAGAAAATAGAAGCTTTAAATTCTAATTAGATGAAGATAAAAAAAAAATAATAAATCCATTGATATTAGATGCATTCTTGTTCATTAAAATCACTTTGTAGATTGAAGATTAAATAACAAAAATACCTCTCTGATGTATAATAGATTATTTTTTTCTAAAGATACCAACTAAGTATCTTGTCTCTAAAGTCTCATATTGCTACCTCTTTCAATTTTTTAAGTCTCAATTTAATAGTAATAATAATGGTAATAATAATAAAACTACCTTTAAATCCTTAAAATTTTAACTGTAAATAGCAATAGAGAATTACCAAAAATATTTATTTCAAAGAATAGGAAGTCTGCATTTTTCCAACCAACATCGTCTCATACAAATAGTAAAAAACAGATTAAGAAAATAACATTATCAACAACTTCATCTTTCCATACGATATTACTTTCTTCACAAATAAAATATATGTTATGTTTGCATTGGTTCTCCAATTCTCCAAGCCATCGTGTGACTCTTCCACCTTCAAATGTGTTGAATCAAATAATAATGAGATGGAGAGAACACAAAGTTCTACCCAAGTGATCATACTGAACTTACACAAAAGAAGGAATGGCATTACTTTGCCAAAAATTGACTGATCGAAAACTTCTTCTGCCAAAAGTCCAAATTTCCACAGTCAGAATCGAAGAGAAAAATTGAAGCGGAGTGTTTCATTATATAATGCCACATTTGCTGGATTTTGTTGCTTCATCTCACATCACAACCAGTCTATGTAGTGTAGAGCAGAAATATTTGCATGCCGTTTCAAATTCTAAGAGTTGTTGCTAGGTTCTGATTCTAACCCTTCGTTCCACCAATAGTTCTTATTCTCTTTCACAATAAACCAGCTGGGTGTGAGGCTTCTCGTTTGAAAACTACAACGTTCATTGCAAGGATTTCCAATGACACCAGTGCATCAAAACCGAAACTATAAATCTACTCTCAGCTGCTGTCAATACTGTCGCTGGAGTAATAGATTGTTGAGGTTCCGTGTTTGCAAATATCGCACATCACCTGGAAAAAACATGCTTTCTCAACCAGTCGCTTCACCAACCTCAAGCAGAGACTAGACCACACCGTTCAAATGCGATTGCCTGGTAAGTATAACCTCTTCAAGACCCAATTCTAGCCTGATAATAAGTAAGAAAAACAGTGTGGACTTCTCACTCTCAACTGGTGATAGTGAACACGTGGATTACCAAAACAAAAGCATCCAGAGAGGCCATACACCTCACAACCGTGACTTCGAATAAACCTGGGTACCTTAAAAGCAGTTTCTAGATTGTGCATACACAATGCAACTTAGAATAATGCAAAGTAGACAAATTTGCACGCGACAAGAAGAGATGCATGAAATCGAATTCTGGTGTAGCAAGTTTATTGCGATAGTTACGACAAACAGCTTCCGAGATGGATGTGACACCTCCTCATGTGCTTCTATCTACCAGAGACCTTCCTCTGGAATGTATATAATTGTCTGCGTTCCCGCGCACCGAAGCCTAATGTTGTTGTACTCGACCTACTGAGTCCAGCGACCGCCGGGCTTTCCGCCCACATCGCTCGCTGCCTACCACGGCAGGGCAGGGCAGGGTAGGGGGGCTATTATATTCCTCTACCCCTGCGCCCGACCAACCTTGCACCACCCCGGCACCACCGCCGATCACTTACCTTATCAAACATGCCCATCACTATCCTACAATTCCAGGCCCCGATCGTCATCGCTGGCCTCCTCACACCATTCTTGCTTTCTTTCTTCCTTTCTTTGTCCCCGACTCACTCACGCTCACTCACTCCTCCGTCCCCTCTTCTTCACTTCTGCTCCTCCGGGCTCCACAAGATCGTCGTGTATGCGATCATTCCCGTCACCACGTACGGGTCCATGTTCGACGCCGGCCTCCTGTCCTCGAAGTACCCCTTGCCGTCCTTCTCCGTGTCACGCCCCACACGCACTGATGCTCCCCTGTTCGCCACTCCCCACGAGAACGTGTTCATGTCCGCGGTCTCGTGCTTTCCAGTCAACCTCCGCTCGTTGCCCTCGCCGTAAGAGGCAATGTGCTCCCTGTGCCTCAATCCCAACTTCTCGATGGCCTTCTTGATCACCTCGTATCCTCCCTCCTCACGCATCGATTTCGTGCTGTAGCACCCAACACAACCCCCGTCAACCATCACCCCCGTCCAAACGTACAAACAACCATGACCAACCACAGGAAACGAAACCCCACTCCCAACAAATCCCCCTCGCGATTACTCACCTGTAGTTGGTGTGGCATCCCGCGCCGTTCCAGTCTCCTTCGATGGGCTTCGGGTCCAGCGACAGCACCACTCCCGCAATCTCGGTGATCCTCTCCAAAATGTATCGCGCAGCCCACAACTGGTCCGCAGCAGCGATGCCCTTCGAAGGCCCCACCTGGAACTCCCACTGCCCGGGCATCACCTCTCCGTTGATGCCACTGATCTGGATGCCGGCGTACAGGCAAGCCTTGTAATGGGCGTTCACGATGTCACGTCCCCAGGCCTTGTCAGCTCCGGTTCCGCAGTAGTATGGTCCCTGGGGACCCGGGTAACCGCCCACGGGCCATCCCAGGGGCCACTTCACTTCCTTCTGCAACAGGGTGTACTCCTGCTCTAAACCATACCTGCCCCCCCACACACACACACACAAAACGCTCAGCTCTTCGCAGTTGTTAATGCAGAGATACACTTTGTGAGAAAACATCCCAACTGCGGTAACAGTCTGTGAATTCACCAGAGTCACAATCTTAAAAACTTGTGCGAATCCGGGAGTTTGATTGCTTCACTGCACACGACACTACAGATTTCACGCTTGTTTGCAGAGAAACGCACACTTTCCGAGCTTGCTGTAGCAGCGCGGTGAGCGACAAAAATACAACCAATCATGCAATCACAGAATCGTGTGGTCAAGAACGAGATTGTAAAGCACGTTCTAAGTGCACATAAACCGAGAAGCAGCTTTGAACGCTAGGTTCGAAACATGCGCAGTGGAGCTACGCACAGACAGGTGGAAAAGTTTGTGGGATAAGGGCGGAGAGAAAAAGAAAAGAATTCAACTCGCTAAACCTCTCTAACAGAAACACTTCGCAACACTGGTTGTGCGGACAAGAGCAACAATTTCAATGAAAAAGGGGAAGGAGGCTAAACATTGACGGTTCAAAAGACAGAATCACACACGGTAATCGCAAACAAAACTAGTTTCAGGGAGAAGACACAGCCAGAAATGCTCACCATGTCTCCTCCTCCGCCACCTCCTTCGTGGCGAAAACCTCCGCAGCAGCAGCGCGCTTGTTGGTGGGGATGGGCACGCCCTGGGGCGTGTACGCGTCACAGATCACCAGAATGTTGTTCCCCCTGCGGAACGGGTCCCGGAAGATCGCCTGCGGGTACAGAATCACCTCGCTGTCCTCACCCGGCGCCTGCCCAGTGCTCGACCCATCGTAATTCCACTTCGGCAGCAGCTTCGGGTCGCTCACAGGCTTCGGCAGCGTCCTGGCCTTGGATCGCAAGTCGGTTCCCGACCCACCGATCCAAATGTACTCAGCAATAATCTCCTGGGTGGTCTCCTCCAGAGACAAGTTCAACAGCTCGTTGAGAGAAGTCATCTTCGCTACCACTAACAACAACAACAACCCACGAAACCTCGCTAACAGAATAAGACACAACCGTACCTCACGAAACAGAAAAGCAACCAAATGAGGTGCAACGAAAGGGGGCGATGAGAATGAAGCGAGATGCACAGAGCAGACGAGAGAGCAGTGAGTGAGTGAGAGTGAGCTCGCGAGTGAGTGAGTGAGTGAGAATTCGTGATGGGCGAGGTCTACTTGTGCACCCCAACTCCCCCACAGAATTGCGCCTGGTGCCCCTCGACGCCGCGCAATGGCTATTCCGAAGCGAATCGAGGAGCACCACCTCTTCCCGTTCCTAGATTCCTCATATTCTTCTATTTTCCTAGATCCACTATTTGAAAATCTACCATTTCCTCTTCGAGGTGCGTAGATTCCTCGGGGCCACGCCTTTCGACGAGTGTGTAAGGGCCAATTTGCTGTTTTCGTCGTCCCATTTGTTTTATTGTTATTTTGTATTTGTTGTTACTGTTCCTTCTCCTTCGTCGTCATCTCATCTCATCTCTGGTTTCGTCAAACCCAGTTTGACCCCGAGTTTGCTGTGTGTTGTTATATTCTCATCGTTCTTAGGATTCCTTATTCTTACTATTCTTATGCTTTTGTGTTCTGTTGGTGTTGGGGTGATAGGCTTCTGATGATTTGCAGATATGGGTTGTAATTTTAGGTTTGCGTGGGTGTTGTTGGTGCTGAATCGATTAAGGTGCATACAGTTTGGATAGTATTTCATGTTCTGGTTTTTTTTAGGGGAATGTTAAATAGACCCATGCTTTTAATAAATAGACTCATTCTTGATGAAGAATATAGTAATCATGATGAATGTGGTTGGTTTTTATTGGTTGCAGATCCAATAGTGAAGAAATGAATGTAGAGGTCATTTTTTTTTGTTCATGATGATTACAAAAAGTGAGTTGATTTAGTAAAAACTTGGATATATTTAACTTCTCATTTCTTTTTATTGAATTATACATATTTATATATATTTATATTTATATTTTTTTTGTGTGTGTTGTGTGTGTGGAGATTGTGACAGATGGGGTGGAATTGGTTTGTTTTTAAGATCATTTTCTTTCTTATGGATGGATTTGATTGTCTTGCTGGTCTCAGAACTGGCTATATGTAAAATTTTGTTTGAAATTCTGTGTGCTTTTTTTTAATACTTTGTTTGCTATTGAGTCGTTTTTCTTTTAGCAGTTTTTTGGTCATTTGCTTCTATGTTATTCTAAGGTGTGTCTCTCTCATTTATATGTATTCAAATTGTTATATAAGTGAATGGTATAGACTTGTTTTCTCACAAATTGTTTGAAATTGAAAGAGAGGTAGAGAATTTATTTTACCTGGTTTAATTTACTTTGAATGCAACATAAACTAATCAATTCTATAAAAAGATGAAGAATAAGGGTTTAATTTCTATGAAAATTTCCAATTAAACAACTTAGAATGAATTACTACCTTAAGTTCTGTATACACACATACACTGATATTACTTCTTCTTCTTTTTTTCTTTTTTTAATGAATTTGGGTCAATAATTTGGAAAAATGGTTGAATAAGTGATCAAATATATATATACTTGTCAGCTTTTGTTTTGTAACTTGAAGTTACTAGAAGAAACTAAATTTATAGGTGATCATCAAACATCAATATTGCTTTACAGCATTTGTAGTAAAGATCCATGCATGATCTTTTTTCGAATCAAATTATTAAACGCTTCAAAATAAAGTCACATAAATATCTTCTAGAATTGCAAAATTCTACTTGTTAACAAATTTGTTCATAGTCTTTCAACTGGGAATTCCATCATGATTCATTTATCAAAACGCAGAGTATGTCCAATTTATGATATAGAAAATATAAAAAAATATAAAACCTATTATCATTTTGCATTATTATTGTCCATGAAATCGTTTTGAAGTGTTAAACAAATTACGAAAAAGAAGCTTAAGTGACATACCCATAAATCATTATAAGAATAACAACAATATGATCTCTGTACAAAGCATAAGACACATTGAAATTATAACACTACCTAATGTTCAACTTGATAAAAATCAAAAGTTCTTCTTTTTCATTAATATATTCGTAAAAGTGAAGTGAAAATCCACATATGCACAGCCATTTGCCCTGGAAAAAGGGTTAACCATCATAAACATCCTACAGAGTGTGCCTAAAAATCTAAGATTAAGTTCAAAACTTTTTTATTTAATTTTTAATTTTTTAAGATATTAATTTGTTAATAAGCTGATGTACTACAAGACAATGGTCCCGTACCATGAAATACTTGCCCCTCCCTTCAGACTTTTCTGTTCATGAAGCAGGATCCTGCATTGGAACACTTGGCTGAACCGTCAAACTTTTACTTTATGGAGGGAAGAGAGAGAATAAAAATAAAAGAAGAAGAAGAATAATTACAAGAAGCAGCAGCAGAAAGAAAGTAGAGAGGAGGATAAAGAGAGAGAAAAAGAAAGAGAGCGTAAGGCCGTGTCCAACTGGAGCCACATCAGCAAAAAAAAACTCCACGTCAGCATTAGCTCCCATTTGTTAGGACACCAAGAGGTGGCCAAAGCAAGTGCCTGCCACTTGGCAACTTCGTTTTGTTTTTTTACTTTTTCATTACCTTTAAAAAGAGCTTTTTGACCAGTTCACTTTCCGCATGGAAAAAAAAGAGGACCCCATTCATGAATCCATAACCCCCATTCATTCACGTCTTGGAAAACGATTCATCTGAACCTTCCTATGCCAATTCATTATATATATATATATATATAGATACATGTGTATCATGGATAGAGGATACTTATTGATTGATATTGATATTGGTGTATTTTTGTTGTTTTCTACGACTTTTATTTTGTTTTTATTTATTTATTTATTTATTTATTTATTTTTTCACTTGAAGTGAGGGAATTGTGTACCACATACATCCAAGTCCAAGCTTGGATAATCCTTTTGCTGATAAGGGAATGCTGACATCTTCAATGAAAGATAAGAATTCCTATCTCATGTTCCACTTTCATTCTTCTGCTTCATCTAAAAAAGCATCTATATATATATATATATATATATTGTCCCATGTTTATTTGTTGTACTGTATTTTACCTTCAATAATTCCTTTGTATTCTTTCCCTAAGATAAATAGTTAAATGTGAAAAAGTTATTTTGCACTCCATAGAAAGAAACGAAAAGAAAAGAAAAACACTGTGCCAGCATAATAAGATTGTTTGCTCAATTATGAACATGTACATTTCTGGTTATATACTAAATGATATTTTATTTTTGGTATGTATATATATATATATATATATATATGTGCACATATGTTATCTCTATGAATTGGATTAAATAAAATAAGATTTCTAAACAATTCAGTGAAAATACAAGCACAAATGTGCAATTACGCATGAAATAAACTTATCATAGTAATACAAATTATCATTATTATTATCATCATTGTGCAACGGTGGTAACGTTCAAACAAAAATGCCAAAAAATAACTGATGGTAATGATGCATAAGACTAAAAAAAAAAAAAAAACAAAACAAAAACAAACCAATAAAAAAACACTGAAACAAATGTAATAAGAATCAACCATGACAATACACATATTTAGCACACAAATAGATACTCCAAAAATACCTGAACAATATGAAGACCTTTCAAAACGAAAATTTTACAGATTCAAAACGCTCCTTATAACAATACTATTTCAGAAAGTTCTCAATTGCTGCAAAATTTTCTATTTGTTTTTTTGTTTGCACATAAGTATCTATATATATATATATATATATATACATATAAACTCACATTTAAGAAGTGTTCACATTTTCAATCTGAAGAAATGAAGACCAGATACTGTTTTTTATTAAATAAGTGTGTGATCTAATTAAATTTGGAAGGCCAAAAACATTGACTACATTTGCTAATGATCCTCAATTTCCACCATTACACAATATTAGAGGATTTGATAATTCATAGTGTTTTCATTTATTTTAACTTTATGTTGTTGTTTTACAGAAAAATTTATTAATTTCACATCTTCTTAATTTATAATATGAAACACACAATCCTCAGTCCATTTCTCCTCCTACAACCAAAGTGCTTAATTGGGTCCGATTTGTCCATAAAAATAGAATTTTGAACAATGAACATTAATATGTATATCATTTAAATTCAAGTGAGATTTCACTAGCACAAATGACTTGTTGCTACAATAGAATCCTTACAATCTTCATAATAAGTAACAATAGACAAATACACACACTTTTGGTTAAAATGAAAGTTAATAAATAAGTATTTTCATTTAGTTTTTTTTCTTAGATTCCACAATCTCTACCTAATTTAGTTAAATAGTCCATCAACTGGACTCTTATGATATATTTTGGGATGAGATTGAGGATTTTCTATTTCACCATGAAAAAAATCATATTTCCTTTTTCTTCTTCCTTAGCTTTGATTGTTCTTATTTATTGACTTATTTTTGAAACACCCTTTTAATTTTTTACAATATCTTTCTAAATAGTTTTTTACATTGAATTGCCACTTTTTAGAAAACTTAAATAATGGTAGATCATAATGCAATATTCTAGAATAAATGCATCCTTGGTATATCATAACTTTGATTGATTTTGGTATTGTAACCCATTTTCGTTTATAGCTTTCAAAGTATAGATTTTTCAAGGACAAGAACTCGATGAAAAGCAATTCAGACAAGTGAACCTTCACTCAAAGAAAGGTAAAAAAATATAAATAAACAAGTATGTATATTGAAAGAGAAAGTGGAATGGCTATTGCCAAAGACTAGAAAACATGAAGACTCTAGAAACTAGACTGGAAGCAAGAAAGGAGTTGATAAGAATGAAGAAGGCTTCACTCTTGTCTCTATATATACTATCTAACTAGGGGCTATGTGGCAACGTTCTATAGGACCTCTAATATGTATTGACTTTGTAAGACATATGCCTTGATTTACAAGGCAAGTTTTTCTACGTGTGGGCCACATAGTTAGCTTGGTCTTCAAGCTAACAATATGTGTGGCACATGGCCAACTTGTTGACCACGTTTCTGATCCAAAAAGTCAATTAAAGATACATATGAAGTCAAAGTAGCATCTATGAAACTTCTAGGAAGCTTTCATATCAAATACTATAGAATTAACTTACTTTTACTTACTTCTACTTATTTATATATGTAATTACTGGCTTACATGAGTATGTCCGTGACATTACCCTCCCTTTT